TTTTTTTGGTGATTTGGAAGCCGGTATAATTTTTTAGACTTAATTGACCAAAATATAACACAAAATCTTATTTGGGCTAAAGTGCACATTTTTAAAAAATGACAATATTGTCATTCAGTAAATAGTTGATAGGTTGAAACCCTTTGTATTCCTTCCATATATTTTTGCTACAATGAAATAATGAGAGGTAAAATAGGGCCATATTTTCTCTAATAGTTTTTTTTTCTCTCTCTCCTTATTTTTTCTTACTCTATTTATATTAATATTACAACAACACAATTACATTAATCAGTTACAATTGTCCTATAATACACTAAACAGTTATTCATGAATTCTAATAAATCAAACAGTTACATAAAACAATTACACAAAATTATGACACTAACTCAATTTGTCATTCAGTTGTTTACATAACTAAATAGTTACACCATTTAATATCGCGGCAATGTTACACCATTATTCTTTAACAATTGCATGAGACTGTAATTGTTACATTTATTAAAAAAATAGTTACATTCATTAAAAAACAGTTACACTTATTAAAAAAACAGTTACATCTATTAAAAAAATAGTCATACCTATTAAAAAATAATTACACCCATTAAAAAAAATAAAAAAGCTCTTTTTTTTTCTACATCCCAACAACGAACAATACATAATATCTAACAAAACATCTTGGTCAATTCTTTTTTTTTGGGAAAATTCAGTGTTTATTCACGTATAATTTATGACATTCTAATTAAATCTCATTGCCATAGAATCCTGTTGCCGAAGAAGAAGGGTTTTGATCATTAATGCCCCTATTTTACCTCTCATTACTATTGTTAATTTTTACATATTTGTTTACTCAAATAACTGTCCATAATGACTACACAATTTAAGGAGAGTGCTTAGATAAAAAAGTTTTTAATTCATTTGAATTTTGTACCAAAACACAAAAAATTTTATAAAAATTATACTTAATATAGTAAACAACTTATCCATACACTATTGCTCAAATAAGTCTAAAAAATTATATCCACATCCAAAAAAAACCTTTTTTTTTCCCCGTAAATTGATTGTGAAGATAGATGATGAACGCAATCAACGTTAAGATGATATGCTTCATATTGCCATTAATCAACCTGTATGAATCGGTTGGAGAGAGGCATTTGATTTAAAGTGATCAGATTGGAGGGAAATCTGTATAGTTAACGCTTCCTACAATGGGCTAGGCTCACAGCCCAGACATAGTTTTGCAGCATGCATGGAATTAGTTTGCTTTGGGCCTCGACTTAGGACCAATAATATCGACTTCACTGTTTTTGGGCCATACCTAAACAATCATGGAATCTTGAAAATGGTCAGAGATCACCAAATATATTCTGCCGGTCCGGCAACTTCACAACCCCACCAGTGAATTTTTTCCGGAACTTGATGGGTAGGAGAAGCTCTCAGGATCCTTGCGGAGCTTCTACTGTACAGAATATTTTACAAAGCACCATTTCAAGGGAGCAAGCTCTGATTCTTAGCAATGAAGTTATTGGGGTTGAAATTAAAGAAGTTTGCTTCTCTCTCAATCCCAATAAAGCTCCAGATCCTGATGGGTTCAATTAGCTATTCTTCCAACAGGCATGGTCTATCATTGGTGAAGACATTGTTGCTACTATTAAAGAATTTTTTGTCACAGGTCAGCTTCTCAAGGAATTGAATGCTACTATTATTGCTCTTGTTTCTAAAGTCCCCAACCCCACAAGCATGTCTGATTTTAGACCTATCTCATGTTTTAATATCCTCTATAAGGTAATCTTCAAAATTATTGCAAATAGGCTTAAAATTCTTCTTCCCCATGTGATCAATGCATCTCAAACTGCCTTTATAAAGGGTAGAAAAATTGGAAACAATATTCTCCTTACCCAGGAACTGCTTAGGAACTATCATAAGAATGATGGGGCCCCCAAATGTGCTATCAAGGTTGATTTAATGAAGGCTTTTGACATGGTTGACTCGGATTTCTTGCTTGATGTGCTAGCTGCTCTTAATCTTCCTAGAATTGTGGTCAAATGGACTAGAGAATGCATTACTACTCCTAAGTTTTCTATCAATATTAATGGGGAATTGGCAGGGTACTTCCCAAGCGGCAGAGGTCTTAGACAAGGAGACCCAATGTCTCCTTATTTATTTGTCATTGTGATGGATGTGCTATCAAGAATCCTTGAGCAAGGCATTCAAGATAAGCCTCAATTTAAATATCATTGGAGATGCAAAAGACAAAAGATTTTCCAACTTTGCTTTGCTGATGACTTAATCATGTTATGCCATGGGGACCCCAAATCAGTTGAAATTCTTAAAAATGTGCTTGATAAATTCCAAATGTTATCTGGTTTAAAGGTCAATCCTTCCAAAAGCCACATCTTCTTTTCAGGTGTTCTTGATGAGCAACAACAGTTGATGGTTGGGTGTTTCGGTTTTTCCATTGGTTATCTGCCTTTGTATTATCTTGGGATCCCTATTATTACCACTAAGCTTAAGTTGCAAGACTGTTGTTTGTTACTTGAGAAAGTGGATTCAAGGATTAATTCATGGGTTAATAGAGCTCTGTCTTATGCTAAAAGACTTCAACTCATTAAATCTGTGTTATGTAGCATCCAGGTGTATTGGGCTAGTCATCTTATGCTTCCTAAGAAGGTGCTCCATGCTATTGATCAGAAGCTACGATCTTTCTTATGGTCTGGAACTGATATGAAAACAAAGGGGGCCAAAGTTGCTTGGAGTGAGGTTTGTGCACCCATAAAGGAAGGGGGTTTAGGATTGAAAGATTTAAGGGCTTGGAATAAAACCCTCATGCTCAAGCATCTCTGGCACTTAATTTCTGACGAGAATAACACTTGGACCAGTTGGATCAAGGACCACCATCTTAGAGGCAAGAGCATTTGGGAAGCCAAACCATCACAAGTCTGCTCATGAAACTGGAGGAAGCTGCTGCAAGTCAGGGAATTAGCAAGACCTTTCATTCTTTATGTTATTGGAAATGGTAGGGAGTACATTCCTTTGGCATGATTTTTGGCATTCTAACGGTCCTCTCCTTCTTAAATGAGGTACTAGAGTAATTTATGATTCTGGGATCCCTAAGAATGCCAAGGTTGCCTCCATTATCCAAGGTAACCAGTGGAGGTGGCCTCCACTAAATCCTAGAAACTCCAGAGTTATTGAGGAGATTATCTCAACTATGCCCAATTACTCCCCAACAATGGATACAAAGGATGAGTTCAAATGACTTCCTCGAGTAAATGGAAAAAAATGCTGCTACTTCAACTTGGAATCTAATCAGGACCACCAAACCAGAGGTGCTATGGTACCATCTTATTTGGTTCAATCTATGCATTCCTAGATCCAGCTTTATCCTTTGGCTTGCTATTAGGTATAGGCAAGCCACAAAGGACAGAATTCATAGTTTTACAACCAATAGTGGAACTACCTGTGTGCTTTGTAGAGCTGATCAAGAATCTCACTCTCACCTTTTCTTTGAATGCTCTTACTCAGAGAGTGTTTGGAGGAATGTCATCAATAAGTGTGATTGGCCATGACGTTCTTCTTCTTGGCAGTCTCATTAAGGCTATTTCCACCCAATGGAAAGGCAAGAATCTGTAGAATTCCATTAGGAAACTTTGCCTTGCTGTTATTGTTTATGTCTTATGGGGTGAAGGAAATCATAGAATTTTCATCAATGAGTATAAAGATTCAGGTATTACCTAGTTAACTATCTTGAATATGGTGAGAAGTAGACTCCTCTCAGGCAAAATCAAGGACACTCCTTTTCACAGACTGACTGCTTCTCCTTGGCAACTTCCAGGCTCTCGTTTTTGCACATGATATATTTTTTGTATGCTGTTTACAAGCTGTGTAGTCTGTGGGGAGTGCAAAATGCAGCCCTCCCAGACTTCCTCTACCTGCTTTTGATGGAATGACTGCAGGATGTTGCTGTCTTCTCCATGTTTCTTTGTTTTCTCCATGTTTCTTTGTTTTGGTTTTTTCCCTTAGGGGTTGGATGTAGCTCTGTACATTTGCTTTTTATCAATACAACTTCTTGTTTACTTACCCAAAAAAACTTCACAACCCCACTTTGAGTCCGTTAGGTTTGATAGAAGCTACACGAGGATGAATGGGATTATGAAAGACTGCATATTGTGAGTAATGACCAGTTGATTACTTTTGAATTTGGTGATTACAGATAGGTTAGTTCCCAAGAAAATGCTATGTAAAGTTTTGTCTACACTGGTGATCATGCCGATTTCTTCATATTAATACGTTGTCTTCACTCCAATCTCCCCATGAAATTTTGTTTCTCGGCACTTGGAATATGCAATCTTTTATTGATATTTAATTATTTTGTTTGGTTTATTGAGGGGTACAACTTTATTTTTTTCGTGCTTTTTTCTTGTGTTATTTTTGAGTGAGTTATTTTATGATTCTTATTCGCTACTTTAAGATAGATTGAATAGCTGTTGATAATGTTATTCTTGAATAAACATTATCTTCTTTTTATTTATTTGTTAAATTTTTTTTTTGAATTTTTCATGTGCAACACACTTGTGTATTACTAGTAGACAGAAAGAAAAAAGGAAAAAAAAAAAGAGAAGAAATCTCACATCCTAGAAATGGCGCTTCTTGTCCCCTTCCGCTTTTTCATGTGAGTCCGAAGAAGAATATCACAAGCCAATATTGCTGCAAAGTAGTATTCGTCAAGATCCTCAAAGAATTCATGTCTTTGAACTAATATACTCTTTGAAGGTTACCTTCGAGTCAAGTCCTTTTAATTTTTTCATCTAAACTTAATCAATTTGCCAAAATAACACTCGTCTGAAATTATTCTTTATTCCTTGATACAAATGAATCCTACAGAAATCAAGAAAGAGTAAACGATGATCATCATAAAAGATCTTACATCATACTATAATGCTAATTTGACATATATAGAAAAACTAGGAGGCGGCGGTGGCACAAGTGGTTGCTGTTGGTGACACAAATATGCTCTCTAGGGCACAGAAAGCCTAGATCTGCAACTTTCTAAGGAGAACACCTCTCAAGGCCTCCTCACTTGTAATTCCATTAGGGACCCTAACCACCACATCTTGAAGCACCAGCTGCTTTACGCTTGACAAGCTCGCATGATGAACCTGAAACTCTAACTCTCTAAGCACATCCATTAACCTTGCACATGGGTAATTTACATCCGGACACTGGAGACGAATCATGGCTTCTGATCCTAGAATTTTAACCTCCAGTTCCATAGTAGTCGACCCATAGCTCGATGATGACCTTGTTTGCTCGAGAGTGGTCGATGTGCTTTGAGCATCATATATTTCCATAGTTCCTACCCTAGGTTTCTGTAATTCTTTGCGGAGTTTGGCCTCCAAATCTTCGATTTTGCCCTTGAGTTCATTAATATAGGTCACTGCATCGGCAAGTAAAGATGCTTTATCCATCCTTGACACATTTGGAACCACACTTCGGAGTGTGTAGAATCGGCGGTTGAGCTTCTCTCTCCGTTGTCTCTCTGCCTCCACGTGGCTCAGTGCCATTTCTTGTCTACTCACCGATTTCCTTCCTCTTGTCTTCAGCCGGATGTTCATTAATGAATCCGAGGCAAAAGGGCGTTCAGAATCAGAATTTCCCGAGCCCGATGATGACCTGCCAGTCAAAGCCACTTCTCTTTTTGCGTTGCCTTCTTTGTCCTCCTCTTCATGGTCCTCTTTTTGAATTTGCAAAACAGTAGTTTCATAGAGGTTAAGGCACCGGCTGGGAAACGGCGCTTGATCCACATGTTTCATTCTGATATTGCTCCTAGAGTCAAAAAGACTCTTGGAGATTTGCACTAATTCCCAGTCTTTATTGATCATATCTGAGGAACCCAATTCAACAACACCAAATGAAGTTGAAATACAAACCAAAGTCTTAATTCCATGCAAGTGAGCTTCTTTAGCTCTATCACTATTATAGTGCTGGAGCTCGTAATCACCAGCCAACCATAGGTATGAACACGATCTAAAAGTCTGGCCCAGAATGTCATCTCCAGCGAGAAATGACCTAGTCATTGATACCATATAGAACCATTCCGGGTCAGAAACACTAACATTACCATCAACGTTGTAGTTATCGTTGAAAAGGGAATTGATTCCTTTGGCTACCTTCTTACTCTCCAAATCAAGTCCAAACTTGGGTTGGTCATAATGTCCGTTTCCGGTACCAGCATTGGAGACAAGATCTTTGGTGCCTCGGAAATGGCCATCACCCCAGGATAGAACAAAGTGATCGTTGCTCTCTTTTGATGCATGCCAAAAGATTGCATAAACCCACCACTCAGGTCGCCTTTGAAGGATGAATTGGAGGCGTTGTTGAAGTGTGGGTGATGATGATTCTTGGCAAAGGGCTGATGGTGATGATGATAGAGAGGAAGAGATGATTTCTTCCATGGCTAGCCCTTTCTTGTTGCACTTACTGCTTCTGGTGCGTACAATGAGAAAAGAGAGACAGGAAGGGAGGAGAAACTGTGGGTCTGAATGTATAACAAATTCTTTTCCTTATAGAGGGCCCTAAATCTAAGAACTGTTACCCCGATTATCACATGCTCATGAACACAGCTCGAATCCACGTGGGTAACTTGATGCCCATGTCTCTTCACATATGGTGGGGCCAATTGGGATGGAATGTCAGTGTTACAGGGTGTGATGCTGCAGCATAATTTCAAACGACACACGCAAGTCTTGGGGATTCCATTTTATGTTGATTTACTCTTCATTAGGTGACAGAGGACAAAGGTGTGTGGAATGAATTTTCAAAAGCGTTTTCCAAATCTCCCCTAATTAGATTCGTTAATAGTTAGTTTTGTCACTGGTGACTCGTTAATCAAATGTCAATCCCGAAATAATTAGAGTAATAATGATTGTGACAATCCTACTTGTAGGGCCCACGGGGAATTGCTCAAATGTGTGCGGGGTTAACTTTTTAGATACTTTTGTATTTTTACTGCAATTTTTGTATGCCAACAATTTGATTCTTACTCATATTTGATTGGAATACTTCATAAGAAACAGTATATATTTCTTAAACATCATGTTAATTCATTTTAATTATTCCTTGGAACAAATGTCCAGAGGGACAAGAAGTCAATAATACAACACTGGAATATCAAAAAAAAAAAACAAACAAAAAAACTAGTTTTCAATGTTTTTGATCGTGTGTTGACAATGAAATCATACAACTAAGTCAAAATTTTAAATTCTAATAAAATTATTCAAAATTATTTGGTCATGTGAATAACGTTTCTAAGAAGAGTAAAATGACAATATAGAATTACGTGAGTTTCTTGTAGTTGTCAGCATTGTCCCATGTATGATGGTCCATATACTGCTAAACCTTTGTCCCCATACCTCGGCCCTTGACAAATAAGTTTTGTATTTTTTGATGAACTAGCTATAATTTAATTTGCTCTAATTATTTTTATTGATTTCGTTAAGAGCACTGCTATTCTCACCGAATATTGCTTACCTATTTAATGTAGATTATTGGATTAATTATTTTTTCTGTTGTGATCTACAGGTTCAATCATCTACCTTATTCGATGGGTACAAAGTAAATTGTTTCTTATTTATACAGTATTGTCGTCAGAAATGATTTGTTTAAGGTGGACTCCACATTAATTGTTGTTGCATGCAGTTAGGGGAGGTGGGGCACTGAGGATCCGGATCAATGGATCCGGTCAAGATTGACATTGCACATTGTAATCGAGGAAATAAATAGCACACACACACACATATATATATATCTTGAGAAACCTTGTATCATATTGGTTAACACGTCCCAGGTGCTTCAACAATTGTAGAAATTCGTTGGATTTGGCCACAAGCCGTCAGAGTCTACATTTGTTCTAATGCATGCCACCTACCAATGTAAAGATGGGGACAAATGACCGCAAATGGACCCAAGCTTCATACGGGTTGTCCCTTTGAAGAGAAGAATGGGGCACCGCCCTCACATAATCTCCATTGTCATAATTCAGGAAAGCACTTGTATTGGAGTTGATATATTGTAAACGCTACATTTAATATGCGATAATTCTTTTAAAAGTGAAATGGAATAAAATTCGTTAGTACTCTAATATTAGTAAAAAGTAAGATTAATTGCGGAAATATGATTGAAAATTCATTCAAATATTGAGATAAATCAACCTTTTTACTAAGATTAATTAAATTTGATCGAAATAATCTTGGTGATATTAAAATACTATAACTATTTTTTATACCCCTCCAATATTTCAAACTAGGACGAGGCCCAAGAGCTAACTATCCCGTCCTTGGACCCTAGACATAAACCCTAGACCAAGACCCAAACTTGGACCTAGACTCGGATGCGAAGTAGACCAAACCAGACCACAACCCCGTATGCAAGCATTAACCCTAGATCCTAGAACAGGAACCAGACCTGGCACGACACCAATCACAAAGCGGAACAGGTCTTGGGCTCAGGAAACCGAACTTGTATGTGACACTGGACCCCGACCCCAAGAAAAGGTCAAGGTGGGTGATAGTGGATTTTAGTGATGGTGCCTGGTAGTTGATAATAGGAATGGTGGTTGATAATAGGAAATATCACATCATCTGAAAGAACGGTAAAAACTTTAATTGTGAAATTAGACATTACATTATTATAAGAATGGATTTTTATTACTATCTACTAAATAATTAAATGAGTTGTGTTATTATTAGTGGTCACAATTTTTGTCCACAACTTACCAATTTAACTCATAACCAACTCATCCATTACCACTTCTAATTACTACCAATCAAATGGAGTCTCTTAATAGAATGACCATTACTAAATATGGTGATGGTAACAACTATAGTGACTTGGTAATCACGATCACCGTAAAATAGTGTTGCATGTTGGGTTTTTGTGAAGTCTAATTTGTATGTTAATTCAGATGATGACCCAATCCGAAGTAATGTTACATGATTTTTTAATGAAATTTTTTTTAAAACTTGGTCTATGGAGTGAAAGTTTGGGCCGATAGGAGGATGGGCAGTTCACTTTGAAGGATAGTCTATGGAGGGAAGGCTTTATTCATTCTTTGTTGGAGGATAGACAGTTCACTTTAAAGAAAATTCAGACAAGGGAAAATTCGGCAGACATGTTCACGAAAGTGGTTACTGTGGAGAAACTGAAGTCTTGTTCAGTTTCTGTGGGTCTCTCAACTTGAGGACAGGAGGATGAGTTGCAGGGATGAGAAATTGTTTTGGGAGAATTGTGGTTTGATGTTGGTATTTGAACTAGTCTCCAAATGGGAGAATTGTTGGGACTTTGTGAAGTCTAGTTTGTACGTTGATCCGGATGATGACCTGACTCAAAATAATGTTACGTGATTTTTTAATAAAAATTTTTCTAAAGCTTAATCCATGGAGCGAAGGCTTGAGCCGATAAGAGAATGAGCCGTTCACTTTGGAGGATGGTTTGATTGAAGTGTATAGGGTTTGATCGGAGTGTATAGTCGCTCTCTGTAATCCTCTCTCTCAATAATGAAATTTTTAAAGTTTCGTGGGCATAAGCATATTGCTGAACCATGTAAAATTTGTGTGTCTTATTCTTTCTTATTTTTTTTTATTTTATGTTTTTAAATTATTTTGCAATTGTGTGTATTTATCTAAAAATTTAAAGCATATTAAATACCAACCTTGCATTTCGTAGTATTAACTATCAATTTTATTGTCATAATGATTATTTTGATTAATGTCATTTCATTTGAATAAATATAACTAAAAATCTAAAAAGGATCTTACATGAACCATGTGGGCGGCTTATTGGTCAGTGTATTAATCACATCATCGTAACCTAAGACTTTATTACACACGCCTTGCACGTTGATAATTGCTAATACATGCATGCATAGTGTCTGTGTGCGCTTCAATCAAACTGATGGAACCTTAACCTTCTCCAATCAGTTACTATTTTTGTCATCCTTTCTCGAACCCTCTATCTATTAATCAAACGGTCAAGTATTCAGCTGTAATGTCCTGCACGCTGCCCAATAATGTCGCGCTAGCCATGATGTCCATTTGACTCATGCCCGTATTTAGTTACAGATTGGGTTAATGTCATTTTGCACCTTGAAAGATTGTTTGAATTTTAATTTACATTCTCAAAGATTAAAAATTTTAATTTATACTCTCAAAGATAAAAATTTGTATCAATGTGCACCCCAAAAGACCAAAAATCTCAATTTACACCCTCAAAGATAGAAATTTATATCAATGTGCACCTCAAAGATAAAAAATCTCAATTTGCACCCTCAAAGATAGAAATTTGTATCAATGTACACATAAAATTAAATTGATAAATTATACCTAGATCCCCTTATACTTGTCACTTAATCATTTAGACATCTTCACATTTAGAATATTACTCTTATATCTTATGACATTTGTGCACGTATAACACGTAACCCATTTTCATTGATATCTATTAATATAACCGTTAAAAAATATAATTTTATCCTAATAAAAAATTATAATTTCATATTACCCTTTATTTTATGTGTTCAATATATTCTAAAGTTCAAAATCTAGTTTACTATTTGAATGTCTAATAAAATGTAAATATTTATATAATGTTTTTCATATTACCTTTTATATAAATATCTACATTTTATTAGACACTCAAATGGTAAGCTTAATTTTTAATTTTAGAGTATATCGAATTCACAAAATAAAAGGTACTATGAAATTATAATTTTTTATTATGAAAAAATCATATTTTTTAACGATTATATTAACAGATATCAACGAAAAGTGGTTATGTGTTACACATGCACAAACGTCATGAGATGTAAGAGGAATATTCTAAATGTGAAGGAGTTCAAATGATTAAGTGACAAACATGAGTGGATCTGGGTATAATTTATTAATTTAATTTTAGGTGCACATTGATACAAATTTCTATCTTTGAGAGTGTAAATTGAGATTTTTTATCTTTGGGGATGCACATTGGTACAAATTTCTATCTTTTGAGGGTGCAAATTGAGATTTTTGATTTTTGAGAGTGTAAATTAAAATTTGAACAATTTTTTAAGGTACAAAATGAGATTAACCCTTACAGATTTAGACTACTGAACAAACGCTCTATTTATTAATGTTTTGATTAGTACGATAAAAAATAAAATAATAAATAAAATATTTTATTTACTATAAAAGAAAAATAAAATCATAAAAAATTGAAAAGATAAATAAAATATTTATTTTATTAGAAAATAAAATAAGAAGGATAAAAAAATAATTCCTCCCTTAAAAGAATAAAAAATTATATTACTCCCACTTTCGATCATTCCATTATTTTCATTCACTCCGCAAAACCACCATAAAATTACACCTCTGTTTCAAGGACTCAACTGTGTGGACAAATGTGCGAACATGTTGAACACATG